GTCAACAATTCTTTTTAGCTTTTTGTATTTCCCACTCATAAAACATTAGTTATTATTTCTCTCTGAAACACACACACATATGTATCTTTATTTACTCATCTATTTATACATATACATCTAATCTTATTATAAAGTCCAATTTCACAGCTGATTTTATGGTTCATTTCGAGGTTTCCTCTGCAAGGTTTCCACTGATCATTTTTTTTTAATAATAGAAAAATATTTTAACAATCCTTAACACTATCTCCGATGACCTTCCAGAAATGTTTGACCTAATAGTCTACTCTGCAAGTTTTCATATTTTAAGGGGATCAAGAACCCAGTAATTAGGCAATTTCTTATTCATAAATTCCATATGGAAGCCGCACAAGAGGCAATGTATTAGAAAACCTTACGATTTACATTTACAGATAAAATTATGGTATTCATATAAAAGAAATAGACAGTGACCGAAGTTAGTCTGCACATCACTGTGTGGTGCAGATTTTAGTATGCACTTCCTTTTGGAGTTGATATTTATTGTAATTAATTAGACGTTTTCTTGGGAGTCACAGGCTTAACTAACACACAGATTCTTCACAGGAAATACCGATGACATTATTCATGGTACAAATTTCAATGTTCATATTTGTATTTTAATTATTGTTTCGAGAAACCACAGAATTAAGAAAATGGACAATGTAAATTTTTGAATGAAAGTCATGGAGGAAATGTTTAAGACTTACCTGTAACCATGGTTTGATCCTGCCAGGTAAGTTTATAGAAAGGAGAGAACCAAGTGTCTTCTTGTGTTGTTTGTAGACAAAATAAAAGGTGACCTCGTCATGCAGCGTTGAAGCAATCTAGAATTTAGATAATCACATTATTCATACACTCGAGAAGAAATTATATTATTCATACTGTAGTGATACCTTCACAGCGGCACTTGGCTCCTTCTGCCCACTTTCCCCGGCCTCAGTTGCCCTGCCCTTCTCTGGCTCTGGTCTTGAGCCATAATGAGGCGCCACACCTCTGCTTACTGTGTGCCATATGATATACCAAAGACAATGGAAATCATAAAATAAATTGGAAATGGGAAATGATAACTGGTTACCACGGCCAGGGTGCTAGCTGGTCCGCTGTCTGCCGGGGAAGGGCAGACGCGCCCACCGAGCCACAGGGCGTCCGGGACCTGGTTCGCAGCAGACACGCCTCTCTTTGGGTCTTTACACACACACACACACACACACACACACACACACACACACATATATATATATATATATATATATATATATATATATATATATATATATATATATATATATATATATATATATATATATATATATATATATATATATATATATATATATATATATATATATATATATATATATATATATATATATATATATAACTTATATAATCTAAAAATCTATATAATCTTTAAAATATATTTGATATATATTATGTAGATTATCATTATCCTCATTTTTACTATATATGGATATGGATATATACAGAGCTAAAAGCAAGATCTTACTTTCGGAACGACGGCTGGCTCGATCTGAATGTTGTCGTACACAGCTCGCAGCCTCCAAGCGGGGGTGTCAGGTATGGGTCCTCGCGCTGCGGAGACGCCCGTCTGGGAGCCGTTGATGCTGAGCAGCTCCAGAATGTCCCACTCTGAGGAGAGAACGAAAGTGATATTCTCGGATCTGCTGTCTTTGATATTTATAAGGTGTCAGGCCCAGGGCTCCCTGCGCTCTTTGCTCTTACTCTTTTCCCTTCCTCTCCTCTCTTTACACAACTTTCTCCCTTTTCGTAGCTTCTGTCCATTTGTTTCTCTCGTTCCTTCTCTCTCTCCAATCCTCCGTTTTCTCTGTTTTTGTATCCCTCCCCTTGCCTCTGTCTCTCTGTTTCTCCCTCTCCCTCACCTAGCCTCTTTCTGTCAGTTTCCCCTTTTCCTACATTCTGTTTCTTTCCACTAGGTTCTGTCTGTCAGTGTCTATCACCTAGCCTGTCTGTCTGTTTCTCCTTTTCCCCTTTAGTGTTCCACATGTATTTTTCTTGTCCTTATTTTTTAATTCAATTTTCTCTTTTCCATTCCTCTGTGCATTTTACTTTTATTTTCATTATCTCTAACTGTCATACAAACCCAGTGTCAGAAGCTTCCATGCTTTCGATTTCTCCTTAGCCCGACTGCGTTTGGCATCAGCTGCTCTGCCTGCTTTACTTCAGCAACTCTTCTATTCACTTCTCTTGCCTCTGTTCTCGACGCTGCCATGGCTTCCCCTCGAATCTGCTACCTCGTGCAGACTCCGTGGCTATCTAGGTATTCTTAGGTTTCTTATTCCTTCTTCTTTAACTTTTTTTTTTTTCTTGACCCCTTCCCTTGGTTAATCCCTTCCACACCATGCATCCGCCTCATTCCTGGCTACCGAAATTCCTGGAGGACGTTTGGCATACGAATCGGCCTCATACCCTATCATTTTGTGTTTATTCTCTGGTTATTCGGAAGACCTTGGTTTCATAATGATGTATTCTGAGATGATTAAGTCATTTCTAAGAGCCGCTTGCTCCTTTGATTTTTCGTTTTCGTTTTGCGTCATTTTATAGGACAAAATGCCGCTCTTCGTTGTGTTTAGAACTAGTATCTCTACTGACTATGATTTTAGTTTTTACTATTTTTTTTTTTAATTTCCACATTTGTTCTACTGTTCCACGCTTTTAGATAAGACTTTTAGATATATACTTTATTTTCTGGAGTAAAAATAAGAACATGAAGTGTATAATTTCAATCAAAATAGATGAGTGCAGACCCCAAGTCTAAAAGGAGTCGAGACTGTTTCAAACGTTTGTTGTAAACGATCACAGAGGGACATTCAGCTAAAAAAAAAAAAAAAAAAAAGATAAAGAAATCAGTTATCTGCCGTTCACGGAACATATTATTGAAGGAAGCATTAAGAGGTGATTGTAATAGTGACTATAAGGCGTTTTTTTCCGCCGTGGTCCCCCCCACCCACCAAATGAGAAGACAATAAAAAGACAAAAATGAGAGACATTGGGAGAGAAAGCTAATAGTTAAGAAAATTCTAATTACCCCTGAGCAGAGTTGAGACTTGCGAGTGTGACGTGTGCTCACTTGCGCGTCCTCCTCCTCGGCTTAAACACGCTTACCTACTCTGTTATACACGAACTCTACACACTCATATACACGCAGATACGTGGGAGGTAGCAGCTGTGGCGAGTCAGCCACACGGACGACTTAACTAATCAAAAGGAACTTTAACTTTTTTGGCTGGCAGCCCTGAGTTATAAACTACACTGCCAAGATATGTAAAACTCTCTGTGACTTCATTGTCCTCGCCGCAAGCACATACCGACTGAACAGGTTCTCCTAGCAAGTCCCAAAAGTCCTGGATCTTGGTCTTGGTCCAGGAGACCTCTAGACCCAAGGGCTTCGTTTCATTACTAAATGCATCCAGAGCCACCACTAAGGTTTCCAAAGACTAAAATAGAATAGCAACATTATCAGCAAAGTCAAGGTCATTAACCTTAATATTGCCAGAGTTGCTTCACAATGGCTTTGAACAGTAGCTCTACCCAGTATCCAGTCCATGCGTGTTGAAAAGTGTTGGTGCAAGGAAACAGCCTTCCTCACTCCTGAACTAACAGGAAAGAAGCTCGACAGGCCCCCCCAATTTACAGCACTTTCAGTACTAGTATACAGACGCTATTGGTCCAATACTCCTGTTGGAATTCCTCTCAATCTCAGGATCTCCCACAGTGATTCCCGATGCACTGTATCGAACGCCTTCCTGAAATTAATGTAGGCTGTAAGCAGCCCATGCCCGAACTCACGACGGCGCTCTACAATGACTTGAAGCCCCAGTATACGGTCTGCTGTTGACTTACCAGGAATGGATCCAGATTGCTCCAGCCTCTGGTGCCTCAGCAGGTGATTCGTGATACATCTCGGAAGGAAGTGGGGGAGAACCTGAGCAGTGTGATGCCTCGGTGATTGCTGCAGTCCCATCGGTCCCCCTTCCCCTTCCAGAGAGGGATGACCACACCCCTCAACAGGTCACGGGGAATGGTACCGGACTGCCAGATGGCAGCCAAGACGGCATGCAACACGCACGCCATAGGTTCACCACCAGCCTTCACCAGTCCAGTTGGAATGCTGCAGATACCATCTGCTTTACCACTCCTCAGCTTGGAGATTGCCATCGAAGGTCATTTACTAAGAAATGGCCTTCAACCTCCTCTCCAAGACCCCTAATAAGCTGTTTCTTGTCCCTTCTCAACAGTGACTGAGTTCTGCAAACGGTGCAAATCCCGATCCCCTGTCAAATGAGCCACATGACAAGCATCTGTAACTTCCAGTGACTCTTCCGAGATAAGATTCTGTCTTGCTCTTAAGCATTCACCAGTTGATTCTTGATCTGCATCAAATGTTTCGCGCTTGAAGGATAGCGAAGTTTTACATACACTCCTCCTTGTGGGCACTCCGTAGATGTTGATAGAACAGTTCATATCTGAAATCAGAAATCCTGAGGTGTATTTAAAGAAAGATGGAATAATGCACAGTGGCTGAGCATCCATCTTGCAGCTACCTGCCTGCAATGGGAAAAGGTTATTTATTCATCATAGCAATGTGGTAGTGCATTATTCCATCTTTCTTTAAATACACCTCAGGATTTCGGATTTGAACTCTATCAATATCTACTGAGTGCCTATTTGGAGTGTGTCTAATACTGGTTTGATCGATCTGCCCAAGCCACGATTTCCTAGGTCGTCCCACAGGCCTCCTCCACCCAGGGTTATCTCGAGCTGAGACAACCTGGTGGGCAGGATCATCCTGGGGAAAGTGAGCCAAGTGACAGTATAGCCCGAGTTGGCAGGGTTGTGCAGGAAATAGGTCCTGTGCCAGTCTCATGGTGCAACCATTTGTTTGACATGTGGTCCAGCCAACAGTACCCCATGATCCAGCGCAAGGATCAATTGCAAAAGGC